CATTTAAGATGGGTCCAACTACTGGATGCAACAGAACAATTCCTTCCCCTAATATATATATTTCTATTGATGCAACATAAAATTTGCAAGCCATAACATACCAGTGACTCTTATCCAGTTGTAATTAGCTATAGTTTCAGAATCCAAGATACAATTATCCTGTATCTATAAATGGCAGTTTCCCCCCTAACTGAAGACCTTTCATGTATATTTTTATTATTATTTTCAGCTAACTTATTATGATCATTATTTTTTCTACCTTCTAAAACAATGAATGATGTTGGGAAAAAAATTCCTGAGAATATTGTGGATAGCCAAGAAAATAAACAAACGGGTCACTGAAGAAATCAAGCCAGAATTCTTACTCAAGATACAAATGACCAGGCTCAAATTGTCAAATAATTAGGGACTAATTATTTGGACAGATTATACAAAGACCTTGTGAAGGGTCAGATGAAAGGAGGTAGGACCCAGGTGTGGTTGTGATGGACATGGGAGTGAGGAAGATGAATTCTGAGAAGAAACATTTATTCTTAAACTTTTCTTTAACAGCTTTTTTCCTTTCTGATCACTGAAGGTTTTGCAGCACAAGCTTGCTAACAGTTGAGCAATGTTAGGGGGGCTGCAGTGGGTGACAGGGCTGCAGGGGGGGGGGGCCTGCAGGGACAATGAAGTGAGACAGATTCACAAGTTTAACCAGGATGCTGAGCTTCATTTACACAAAATGTTAAAACCACATAGCTGGCACAGGAAACTAGAAGCTTTGCAAGATTCCCGTGACCTAAGGTGGTGTGACATTTAGCTATTTTGCATAGCAAGCGAGAAGGCTTTAGGGGGCTGCAATCCAGGTAACCAATCAATATTATATGTTATGCATGTATTATGGGGGGGAGGGAAAAGGGTTGTGTTGAGAGGGCAGAGAGGTGTATGAAAATCACCTTTGATTATAAAAACTGCTGTAAAACTGTAAACTTGGGGCCTTGGTAGCTTTCAAAGCCGAGGTCACTTTTATTCCTTGGTACCAAAATAAAAGTCTGTTTTTCCACAGCTGGGGTTTGGTGTGATTAATTGGCTTCAACACCAAGCTAAGACCCAGTTTTGGGAACAACACTTGGTCTTTGGAGAAGGCTTTGATGATGGGAAAGGTAGAAAGAATGATGGCCAGCAGCAAGGTTCAATTACAGCAGCAATGGCTGCATTAGTGAAAAACATGAAGGAAAAAATCTTGTAGTCTCTAAGAGTCAGCACTGACTTGATAGCACATAATTAGAATAGCAAATCTGGAACTTTGCCTAACTGTAATCTCTTAAAATGATATGTGCAAATTTGTTCAACTTTCTTGTATTAATAACTTATTTTTTTTATTTGTTTACTAGAGTTTACAGGTAGTCTTCCTGTAGCAGCCACAGTTGGGACCAGCAACTCTGCCATCAAATGAAACATCAGGTGACTTATGATGTCGCTTCCCATTCAATCATTAAGCAAGGCACCACAGCTCATTAAGTGGGACATCATGTAATGACAATTTTGAGAGCCGAGGTGGCGCAGCAGTTAGAGTGTAGTACTGCAGGCCACTTTAGCTGACTGTGTTCAGCAGGTCAGCGGTTCAAATCTCACCCGCTCAAGGTTGACTCAGCCTTCCATCCTTCCGAAGTAGGTAAAACGAGGACCCAGATTGTTGGGGGCAATGTATATATATATATATATATATATATATATATATATATATATATATATATATATATACTGGTGTACACCGCTTAGAGAATGCTTGCATTTAAAGCGGTATATAAGTCTCATAAATAAATAAATTTGCTTCTCTATTGACTCCGCTTGTTGGAAGCCAGTTGTGAAGCATGTAAATGATGGTCATATGACTGTGGGTTGTTGTAACTCATAAATAGGTGCCATTTTCAAAATACCTGAATGTTAATCATGACTGGGGGATGCTGTGATGGCCATAAGTGAGAAGACTTGTAATAGTTATTTTTTCAGCAGCCTCATAACTTTGAATAGTCACTAAGCAGGGCAGTTGTTAAGTGAGGTCTACCTGTATTTGTCATTCCAATAACTCCAATAGCACTTTATATGGACATGGATATTAGAGCTGGGCAAGACATGCCACCTATATATTAATTACACATTAATCTGCCTGTTTCAAACTGCCTTCTGAGGGCTTACGGAGGCAAAATAAAGCCCAGATGAATTCTTCCAGTGCTTTGCCCCCACAGGCAAATAGGAGCATTGTTGCAAAGACAGCCCAAAGCTTGCACAGATAATGTGGGGATCAAAGTCCAGATTAAATTTTGATAAAGTTCCCATTTAACCATGGAAGCCTGAGCAATTTTTTTAAAAAATGTGACACCCACCTCTAACTCCTGGTGATGGGAAGAATGCAAAAATCTAAGTATTCAGGGCTGCCTTTGGCAGTATATCATTTTCATCATCATTATTATTATCCTCATCATTATCTAATTATTGCTATTTTTCATAATATTATTATTAATGCTCTTTCTTCTGAAGGAACCCAGAATGGCTGTATAAAATGAAAACTAAAAACAATGTTAAGTAAAGTATTCTTAAAAGAGTTTCAAAAGCCGACATTAAAACAAAGTTCATTTAAGAACCACCAGTATACAATTCTGATATGGATGCCAAGTAAGCAAGGCACTAATATCAGAACTGGACCGAATTATGATTAGCATGTAAGATCATGGATTTGTGCTTTCAAATGTTTTGGCTTCTCCCGCTAATTAACTTCCTTTGGTTCTAGATCTGCCTTTGTAAGGCAGTATAACACAGCCATGAACTTTTGCTGGATGGGTGAATGAAGCTTATGTATGGATGGGAGGGAGGACAGGGAGAGGGAGAGGAATGCCCGCCCAGCTACATCCTTCTCTCTCTTTTGCAACCCTGGAAACTTTGTTCCCACTAGCTCTGCCAGCCCTTTATCCCAAAAGGAGAGGATTGTGTGGGGAACAAGCGATGATCTCATGGTGACTTGATGGGCAAGATAAAATCCCCACAGCCTCCTTTGATGGCTCTATTGAAGCACATGGGAAAAGGAGAAGCAGCAATGTTGCGCGATAAGACTCTTCACCACCCATGCTTCAAGAGAGTCTAGGGCTGGCTTTGGAGGGATTCTCCTAGATTTTAGTTACAGCTTAAGGAAATCATCTCACAATTGACACAAGATGAGAATCAACAATCAAGTAAAGTTGCTGGATTTCCGCCTCCGCAGACAATTAAGTGGCGCTTTCTTGAAGAAGTAAAGTAGAAGGAGATGGCCCAACTACTCTTGCAAGCCAACTCTGCCCCAGCTAAGTGACAGCTCCCTAACTGTCAAAAAACTAGGCAGGATGGATGATTGTTACTTGGATAGAAGGAATTGCAAGGATATAAGCTAGACTAGGAAATTGGGGGGGGGGGGAAATCCCTGAAGAAATCTCTCAAAGATTTCAAGTAGCAAACAAAATCAGAAACAACCCAAGGAGCAAGTCTGTCTGAGCACAGATTAATAAGCAACATTAAGAAAAGAGTAACAACAAGGTTATTTTTTAAGCTATTAACTCAGACATTCTGGCAAGTACTTTTTTTATTTGAGAGAACTTTATGTAGTATAAGCAAATCAAAGCAGTTAGATTCTTGTTCTTTTTTCCCCTTTTTTAAGACATATGGAGAGAGGCCTCCCATCCAAGCCCTAACCAGGTACAACCCTGCTTAGCTTTTGCAAATTCACATGAGGTCAGATTCTGCTATAGAGCTGAACTTTTTATTAGTTGTGCCTGCAGCGTACCATAGTATAAAAACTAAAGTCTCCTTTAAATCAGGCTTGGCCCTGGCAACTTCATGCACAAATCCAGGTACTGAAAAATTCAGTCCCTGAACACCTCCCAGATTCCATTCCTAGTCTCAAGGTCATTTGGTTTAAGGGGGAAATTAAATGACTTTTGTGTTGAGAATTTACATTCAGTCCCACAGTGGGTCTGTGAAATACAGATAGTCCTTAACTTACAACAGTTCATTTAGTGACTGCTCGACCTTACAATGGCACTGGAAAAAGTGACTTATGACCATTTTTCACACTTATGACAATTGCAGCATCTCCATGGTCATGTGATCAAAATTCAGATGCTTGACAACTGATTCATATTTATGATGGTTGCGGTGTCTTGGGTCATATGATTACCTTTTGCGACCTTCTGACAAGCAAAGTCAATGGGGAAACCAGATTCATTTAACAACTGTGTTACTAACTTAACCCTGTAGTAATTCACTTAACAACTGTGGCAAAAAAGGTCATAAAATGGGACAAAAGTTCCTTAACAACTGTCTTGCTTAGCATCAGAAATTGGGGCTCACTTATGGTCATAAGTCAAGGACTGCATGTATAACAGAAGGTGTGGGAGGAAGATGCAGAAGAAATCAGTGTTCTGATGCATGTTAGTAAGTTCAGTGTGGATCACACTTTTAAGTATGATTATATTCAATAGCATTGAACTTTGAACTGTGTCTCCCTCTGAATTAAAGAATTAAACCTGAGTTCTGGGGGATTCCATGGGGAAAGATACCTGGATTTGATCCTTGCTCCAATAGCTGTATTTGCTGGATTCATTGCTGGGTTTCTTATCTTTTATTTTAGACCTACCATATGCCAACTGAGATCCATCAAGCACAGTCTGGAGAATATTTCTCTGCATTTGCTCTCTGTGCTTAGTGCTCAGGAAAGATCATTCACCTTAAGAGTCATAGGCTGAGTAACCCCAAAATAAGCAGCAGGGCATGTTTTCCCACCTACCCAAATCAATTTATCTTGCTAATAACATTATCACCTACTGCAAATCAGGGTGTGTCAACTAGCATTTCAACCAGCCCCCATAAAACTTGCCCAAGGAGATTGTCATGTACTCAATTTTCTGCTATGAGAATATCATGGGATAGCATTCCTTTTGCATCACAGAGAAGACAGAGAAAGAAAAAAAGTACTTCCCATTTCCCCATGAGATTTCATTTAAAATGTACATTTAATGGTGCAAATAATTTTCAAAGACACTTAAGCAAAAACTGTCATTCTTTGGGGGAACTTGCTTCATGCCGTGCTGAAGTTGCCTCTGCAGAAAATGCATTTCAACCTTGTCCATATGTTGTTAACATATTGTAGAAGGGGAAAGTTCATAGAAATATATAAACCTAGCAAATATGTAAGCCTGGCAAAGAGATTGGAGTAAAAAAAGGCAGATCCTGTAAATATCTCAGCTGGAACATGATCTATCCTCTCTTTTTCTTTACTCATTGCAAAGTTTCAGAGGTGAGAGTACAGTAAAAATAACTCATAAAGGGAAGAATATAATTAGATTGGGCAGATGTGTTTGTAAATAGGCTGGTATGATAAGAAAAGGATGATAGAGTAGGCAGAAGAGAAAGAAAGAAAGAAAGAAAGAAAAGAAAGAAAGAAAGAAAGAAAGAAAGAAAGAAAGAAAGAAAGAAAGAAAGAAAGAAAGAAAGAAAAAGAAAGAAAGATAAAATAAAATAAAATAACCTATGGAAGAATTTGAGGGGATCATATAATTGCCAGCTAACTGTTGGGAATTAGGATTCTTGCAAATAATCTTAGTAAACTTTGGTCTGGTTTATCTAAGTGAGTTTTCTATTCACAAAAAAAGCACACTTTTCCCATTGGTAGGAAATGGGCTAGAAAGAGAATAAGAAGTATTATTCAGATTAGTTATGTTTAAACTCTTAAGAAATGCTTCCTTCTTCATATATTCAACATATTATTGAAGGGCCTTTAAAAAAAGGTCACAAAAAGATCACCAGTCCATTTCTTGGTTCAGAACTATTGCTGAATAAGCAGTTTTAAAGTGGAGCCCTATTTCAAACCAGGAAGTGACAAAACGCACTGCTGATGCACAAAATGTGCATTTGAGAAGGGAGTCCTTGGAAGTAAAATTGCGAGGACAACTAGGATTTAATCTTTGGGAGAATGTTCCTTCAAAATGGTCTTCCTACAATGTCCAAGATTTGTCACATATGGAAAGTATCACAGAGCTGGTGGTGGAGAAATTGTTGGGACAGATCTGTAGCCACGCAGTCAGGGTAAAATATCCACTCACACTCACAGTGCTCTCACAAATGACATGCGTCAAGGAATATTTAGTTGTAAGGAGAAGCAGGTTCAGATTGTTTCTAGGGTCAGAAATACTCATCTGGGTTACAATGCATATCTTGCAGAGTGGATAGAAAAGAAAATAGTCATGGAGCTAGTTATTTACAGATGGGGGTAGCAAGTTGGATTATTAGAGCATCATTACCTTACATCAGTCTGCATTCTAATTGGCATAAACAGTTGATGAGGGGGGAATAATAAAATGGCAAAATTTTGAGGACTTTCTGGATTGAGAAACAAACAAATCAACTTTCACACGTAAAAGTATTGATCCTGGGAACCAGAATGTGAGCCTAACTTTTTCCCTCGTTGTTTTTTGTATAGTCAGCAATTATTTTCTCCCCAGAGGAAGCTTTCCACATTTCATGCTGGCCCTTCAAAAGGATCCCTTCACAGAAAACAGTTTTGCCCCTTTATCACCAGCTCTTCCCCCATTTCTATGACTTACCCACTGTGACTTTCTGTCTGCTCTGGTAATCTGGGGGAAAATCTCAGTTCTCACCCACAGGGGCCATTTTCAAGGGGCCCAAACTGCTAATAGAGCTGTGCCAAAAGGCTACCCTTGTTTAGGAGTCTCTTCTCCCTACATAGGTTCCCAAAGTCTCCCTGCATAAAAGTGTGCGTGTGCGTGCACAGGCTACAAAGCTGTTTACCCCAGAGCAGAGACCATCCCTGGGGAACCATGTGGGGCTGGGGAAGCCTGTGGAGGAAAACTTGCTGGAGATGCTAGAAAGTGAGGATTGGCTCCAAAGGGGAGCAGGTGTCCTGGTAGCATCATGGGGTTGAGAGGATAGAGGGCAGCAGCTTCTTCCCCCAACAAGGGAGAGGGCATCATCTCCAAAGGTGGGTTTGCAGGCATGGTGGCTTCCCCAGAATTTCCTTTGCGCTTTTTGGATTTGGCGGAGGAGACCTTGCGGTTCCGTGTTTGGATCCCATCCTTCCGCATTGCTAAGGGGCGATTCACCTGTCAGAGAAATGATGAAGGTGAGATTAGGATCTCAGAGGAAATTTCTTCTGGGGATACTATTGAGAGGTATTACATCATTGTAATATATTTAAAATAATACAATTACATTATGATGTTATTCTGTCGGCATAAATCCAAGGGCATGCCTCTTGTCTGCTAAATGGTTGATGGTATGAGCAAAACAGTGTGGACCTACATGACATATAAGGACAATAATGCCCAGATCTTTTCCCCGAGCTATTCAAAGATGGCTTATACATATTAAGTGCCACTAAACATGTGGGAACTTCTCCAATATATTCCTGGAAGCAACCAACTCCCACTCACCCACTCAAGCACCCCTTTTTCATATACATATACTCTCCTCCACTCTTTTCCTATTGTCTTACATTGTGCAGTTTGTAATAGAGGCCACAGGCATTGCATACAGGTTCTCCATTCATGTTGCGGCGCCAAAGAGTTGTGGTAGTTGTTTGGCAATTACTGCACTGGGTTCCAGCTCGCTTGCTGACAATCTGCATCATGGAACAAGGAAGAGAAATAGATACTCACATTATTAAGTTTGGAAATGATACCAGGGCCCATTGGGTTTCCTTAGAGCCGTGGTGGCGAACCTATGGCAGGCATGCCACAGGTAGCATACAGAGCCCTCTCTGTGGGCACACGCAACCTCGCCCGAGGCCCTAGGCTTCAGCTGGGTTTTATAAAACCTTTTCGCTTTAGGCCTCCACCGCCGTGTGCAAAAAAAAAAAAGGTTCAATCAATCAATCAATTTCAACTTCTCGCAGGAAAAAAAAAGATCTCGCAAAGTGGGAATTGATTGATTGAACTTTTTAGTCCCACCCAGTCTGCCATTACCACTACAGCCACACCCACCCAATGGGCCATGCCCACCCGGCACCCAACGATACATAAGTGGGTTTTGGGTTGCAGTTTGGGCACTCGGTCTCTAAAAGGTTCGCCATCACTGCCTTAGAGCAACATTTCTTAAAATGTGGCCCCAAGACTATCTCAGGGGTCCATGAAATCAAAATTATTTGCTAGATATTAAAGATATTTGAAAGAAAATTAAATAATTTTAAATAATGTCACTTTTCTCTTTATTATTTTTTTAAAAATATAGGATTTTTCATGAAAATATATTTATTTATTTATATTTATTTATATTTGACACTTCTCAACCACCCATCTCCCTCAAAGAATTTATGTTAACGTCTAATGGGTTTAATTATTATGTTTTAATATTTTGCCTCTGAAACGAGCAATTGTTATAAATACTGAAAGAACATGTACATGTTCTTTTTTTTTTCTTTTGATGGCTCTCTCTGACTTCATTTTTTTCCCCCCTTACTCCGAAGTTTCAAATAGTAAAATCTAAAAGCTTGAAATATATTTTATATCAAAACTATTGCCGGGGGAATCTAGTCAGTTGCCTAGGTACCCAACAAATCAAAACAGCTGAGATGTAATGGGTGGTCAGATCCCCTCCCCTCCCCAATTTTAATTACTGTCTCAGTTGCTGTAATTAATAGTACAATCTGAATTCTGTTAATAAAGAGATACAGTAAGCTTAACCAGGGAATTAGCCACAAACAATGGCAATATGTATATTTTCAAATTGTAAACCACCCAGAGTCCTTGATTGAGATGGGTGGCTATAGAATTGAATAAATAAATAAATATATTTGCACATGTCTATGAAATCAAGCGACTGGCCATTCTATTGTCTAGCCACTAAATGACACTGAACTTTATTGTATCTGCTGAGGTCAGAAGTTTCCTGTTCCTGTTCTGTTCCTTTGTAATAGAGATAATAAAGTTCTTGTCTCACTTCCTGATTTATTTGTCCCCAAACTATCCATGACTTGCTGTTAGAAGTCAGGTTTTTAAACCCACAGATTCCTAACGAGATGAGAAAAGTGACAACGTCCTTTGTGCTAAAAGTCTTAATTTCTAATAATACAGCAGGGCAGTAAGAATTGGGTGGAAGGGAAGCTCTCTTATGCCTAGCTACGATCTCAAGGAGAAGCTAATAGTACAATTAGGTTCAGTCATTTACATATATGTTATTGGGAAGAAAGCCAGCAATGTCTATAATGCCTTTCCCCTTCCAAAGAAAGGCATAAGTCTAACTTTGTGATTGTTCTCAGCAAGGCTGATATAAGGTATTTCCCCAAGAATAGTTATTGAGATTTTGTTCAGTTGATTTGGAAAAAAACAAACAAACATGGCAGATCATGGAAACTACAGAACACCCTTTCAACAATGAACTCAGAATATTTAATTTTTTAAAAAAAAATCTAAATACCTACAGAGATTTCTACCGGTTGAAGCCAAAGTCCCAAGTAGGCCACATGGTGGTTCTTTAATCCATACAGGAAATTCACGGTAGATTCTGGTAAAGTATATTTCTCAACTAGTATTTGAAAACCCAATTCTGTACTAGTTGTCAAAGAACTTCCAAATCCAATTCATAAGCTGGTTATTATTACCTATAAAGCCTTTGCAATGTGGTATCAGAGGACTTTAGCTATCACCTGCCCACCTTGTAAGAGCATCAAGAAAGGGTTTGCTCAAGGTCCCATCATGATGAAAGGTGAAAGGGACATGTGGCGGACAGTAGCCACATCTTTCCTATGGTTCCCAGCACACGAGCACACCGTCCTGTAAAAGGGGGATGCTTCACTTTTGAGACCAGAAGACTTTCCTTTTCAAGCAGACATTTATTCTGAGCTGAGGATGGCTGGGCAACCATTTTTAGCTTGGTCTGAGGGTACCAAGTTTTGTTGCAACCATCTACTGTATTTAAAAGAGCATCTTTAAAAAAAAATATGACACTGTTTAAATAAGCAGAGAGTTGCACTGTTGAGATGGAATTCTTAAGAAGGTGACCAGGATCCACTTGCTGGAGGGTGAATGTTGACTTACCAGGCGTTTCTTGGGTCGAATGAGGGGCCGATTCTGGCCATTCATCTTGTGATAGAGCCCACAAGCATTGCAAAGATAGTGACCAGTCCCATCCCTTCTCCACAGTGGGGTGGCTGTGGCTCCACAGTTCACACACTCACGTGCCTCTGCCGAAAGAGGTGGAAACAGACATTCAAGGAGAAGATAACATGATAGTTCAAGTGGGAGGATACAATATGATTTTTCGTTTCTAGGAAAGATTGTCATTCTTGTTGAAACAAGAATGTTGTGTTGGAGGACAGTTTGGGAGAGGACAATAAACTGATAGGTGAATCTTTTGCTTAAGATTCTGCTTTTGATATACAAGGCTTCAACAACTCAGGACCAGAAAACCTGTCAGATTATCTCTGCTGTAGAGACCTATCCTATCATGAGAGCCTTCAAAAGCTTTCATTCCTGCTGCAGTTGACAGACATCATCTTCCATTTAGCTGCAGATGGACCTTCTCTGGAGTGGCATTTGCTCTTAAGGTTGTGATATTCATGAAGCACCTCTACTATAGTAGAACAAGAAAGGTCTGGCCTCATGAGATTCCAGGTGGGAGAAATCACAACCAAAAGATTGATGTGCACAAGGTTATGAAGGTAGCAACTTTCTGCAAATCCGTTAAACAATTGGATCTTTTCCTAGGATCATGGAGGTAGTCATGGTTTAAGAGCTGTCTCTTTCAAAAACCAAATCAAGATTAAGGCTGGGAAATGTGTATTTTATCTCATTATATAATGTAACAATTGGTGACACTAGGCAATTATATTTGGGTAGAATTTCGTGTTTCCCACACTGGTCTGTTCTTATTAGAGAAACAAGTATGCAATTCTTTAAAAAGATAACAGGATGGAAGAGTATTTACATGCTTGTATTAAATAGCTTGGGGATGTTTCCAGCATAAAGGTTAGTCTGACCTTAGGGTAAATTCATTTCTGCCCCTTAGATTTGGCTCTGGAGAGCATGCTCTTATTTTTAATTAGAGGCATGAAGTAAAGTAAGTAGGAATTAATTAGTTTGGGCTAACCCTGTCTTCCCTAGCCATGTTTCTTCCACATGACTGCATAGCTGCTACACTAAATTCACTCTATCCTCCCAACAGTCTTAAAAGGTAGACTGAGCCCAAGCCAAGACTGAACCTTAGGGGAGCACGGACTTAAATTCATGTTTCCCAGATGCAAATCAAACACTGTTATTTGTGATGCTGCTTTTTCCAAAACGGTGGCTCTCCCCTTTGTGGGTCAGATTTGATCAACTCTGCATGCCTCCCTGAGCTGCAACTTGGACCTGGCTCATCTTATAGGCCGATGCACCGCAGCTATTTTTCAAGACCAATTTTAAGATGTTGCAGATAGGTGTTATATTCATGTCTCAGCGGCTTCAAAGCATCTTTTTCGAATCAAATCCAAATTGCTGCCTAGCCTGATTTGCTGATGTTGGAAACTCAGAATAATTTTTTTTTTAAATTAAAATGCATGTCAATAGCAGCAAAAAAAAATGCACTCCAGTTTCTTCCTCTTATGTTAATGCTGTGGATACAACACAGATTTTTAGCACAAGGTAAGCCTGTGATTAGGGTTCTCTGGTATTCCAAACCTGCAGTTATTTTATAACATTTAAGATATCCAACAGAAGATCTCACCACTGGGGGAGAGCTGCGTTGTCCCGCGGAGTTTGGGGGAATATCCAGCTGTCAAGGGGCTTCCAGGCATCGGAAAATATCCATACTCCTGTCCCATAGTGTAAGGACTTAGGGCTGGGCCAGTTGGGGTCCCCAAAGGCAGCAGTTCAGCATGAGTGGGGCTGATCCGTTCTGTCTTCAACATCTCCAGATATCTGGGACTGCTCTTGCCATCAGGGGAAAGGTCCCTGGGAGAGGCTGGTGCATGCAGAGTCTGGTAGGAGGACGTGGCAGAAGTATAGACAGGAAGTCCAGTGTGGGTTTTCCCAGAGGCACTGGAGACCCAAGCTGCTGTGCTGTAGGGATGGCTGTCCCCCCATTGCAAACCATTGAGAAGAGGGTATAACTGTCGCACTGTTGTAGAGATGTAGTAGTAATTGTGATGATGATGATGATGGTGGTGGTAGTGGTGATATGGAAGAAATAACAACACTAAAGTGAGCATGATTCATGTGCATGCATGCAGACTACGGAAAAATGCACTACTTAATGAAAGATCTAGTACAGTGTTTCCCAAACTTGACAATTTTAAGGCATGAGGACTTCAACTCCCAGAATTCCACAGCCAGCAATGGGAGTTGAAGTCCACATGCCTTAAAATTGTCAAGTTTGGGAAACACTGATCTAGTAGATAAGGTGCTACACATGGTTTCACTTTATAAGCAACAAATATGCCTGCTTTTGATTGCATCTGAAGAAAAGCTTGATAGATTTCAGTACAGGAAATGAAAGCATGGTTTACACACACACACACACACACACAAATGTGTATGCATGTACATATGTATGTGTGCATTTCTATGGTATTTTATTGAGTCTAAAATTCTTTATACTAGAATTCCAGGTTCTTAGATTCAGTATGATGAAGTTTTAACAGTTAGTAAAGTCTGGAAAAACCTGTGGCAGGAAAACGCATCAATAGCAGGTAGGATTTACACATAAAGTTAAACCACAATCTTTTTAAATGTGGCTTGTTGAATAAATTAGATTTTCTGGCTATACACAGCATACTTAGCCACAAACTCTGGTTTATAAGCCACAATGGCTGTGTTTATACAACTCACTAAACTGAACATAGCGTGTGAACTTAGGTAATATTAGCCAAGCAGCCAGAATTTCTTAACAGTGCTGAGACTGTGTAGAAGAGCAAAAATGTTATGATAAAAAGGGAAGCTGATACACAGAGAATTAAATCTAAGCCAAGGATTACCAGTGCTTGACTCTGAATTCATTTTTAATGCTGGGGCTCACATCTATCTTGTAGCATAGAAAGCCACAGCAAAAAAAAAGTTGAGAATTTAGTGAGCAATTTTGCCAACACAATTGATTTGCACAACCACCTGTGATTAAAAAGAAGAGTATTTTCTAATATGATATCCTCCAGTGTGTTAGGCTACAATGATCACCATCAACCATCACTGGTTTTAGTGTAAGTCTCTGTATGACTTTAAATTGGGGAAAAGCTGCAGACAAAATTGAGGGGTCCAAGCCTGTCTTTAAAAACAGATCAGTTTCCAAAAATGACAGCATCCATGGCCTCAGTGGAGCAAAGCCTAACCTCTTCCAATTGCTACATTCATACCTACCTGGGGAGTGTCTGTAGGATTCAGGCATACGAGAGAAATATGTGGGCACAGAGTTGGAATCAACTCCCTCAGGACTCGTAAAGAAAAGGTCTGAATCGTCATTTCCTTGCAAATGAGAAGTCTCTATGTATTGTGGGGCAGAATCCTGATTGGAGTAATCCATTGTCTTGTCTTAGAACTTTTTTCTGCACACGATAAAGCCTACATTAAAAAAAAAGGCTGTCAAACAAAACAGAAAATACTAGGTAAAACAATACTATTGTTGCAATCAAGTATTATTTCAGGATCTAGTACTTAGAGCAGTGTATCTCAGCCTTGGCAACTTTAACTGGTGTGGATTTCAATTCCCAGAATTCCCCAGCCATCCATGCTGGCTTGGGGAATTCTGGAAGCTGAAGTCCACACTTCTTGAAGTTGCCAAGGCTGAGAAACACTTGCTTAGAGGGATGACAGGAATTGGAACTCTGGGATCTATATCTTCACTTATGAAACATGGAATTTTCAGGGATTTTAATTTTAAATTGCCCTATCAAACTTGCAAAGCATAAAGTATGTAAAGATTAATTTTTCCTGAAATATCTTCATTTCCTTGGGTAATGTGGAATTTTCAAGATAAAGGGTTTTCAAAATGTCTCCTCAGATGGCACAATTTACAGGCTATAATGTATGAATCAGCTGCACTTGGTGCATTCTGTCAGTCTAATCACAGATTCATTGTTGCAACATCCCATTCCAGAAAATGTACTAATATAATATTTATTAGCAACCCAGTCTCTCTCTCTCTCTTTCTACCCTGTGAGGAAGAAAAGTGTACTATCATCTACAACTTTTTTTCACACTTCTCTCATACTCTAACTTCTCACCATCCTTGTCATCCTTCTCTGTCCTCCAGGCATATTCCAGCTTATTGTTATTGTTCCTGAACTGTGTTTTAAATTTCCCATTATTCTTTATAGAGTTTGCTTATATTTCAACAAACTAATCAGCCAAGTGAACTAATTTGTATTCTTGATAAGCTTCCATTCTACTTTATCAAAACCCTTTCTGTATTTGAAAAAAATAATTTGAGAAATTAATAATATTATTATTTTCTCAAATTATTTTTTTTGTTCTAGTCTCTATAATTTCTCATTAATCTTTTCTTTATTCTCATAATTTTATATCTGTTGTGATAAATAATTTCAATTTATATGCTGAAATTGCAGACAATAATTTGCGTGATTCTTACTTTCTCTTGGTGATTGTGGAATATCATAGGCATAAGATGTGACAGTCAAATTTTGAACTGGCCAGGCCTTTTTGAAGTAGTTAAAGATGCAAGCATTGATTAAAAAAGAAAAAAGTACCCAGTATTTCTCTTTTTTGGATTATTCCACTGATCAGCTGAAATGATGTTTAAAAAATCCCCTTTCCATAGAACAATACAGTATCCTGCCTGCATAAAACAAAACAGAGGAGACAGTAGCATTGCTCTGGTGGATTAACAATTCTTCTTTCAAAAGACTGGATGATAAATGGTAAGTACTGTATATCATGGGTACCTCAGGGTAGAAATATACTTTCCATATTTATGTATCATCAACTGGACATACCTATGCCTGCATTGTATGTGTGCAGTTGTCTTCTAGCAACATTATTCCTGGTCTAAAACTAGTCTGAAATTAAGAAATGGAGGCATCAGAATTACTACTCTCTATCTTACTCTCTGATCTCTTTCTCAGAACTGATAACTCATTTTAGACCGTGCTTTCTTCTCAGATATCAATTTACACATCTGATTATATTCCTCCCCCAAAGTGTGCTTTTCTGTGCTAGCATTGTAGGTCCATGTGTATCCATGCATGCAGTAATGAAAATTTACTAAGGGACTCCCCTTACTACACTGAACATAATGGAGAAAGGCAATGTGTCAGACATTGGGGAACCCCTGTTCAAAAATCCCCGTTTAGTCATGAATTTCATAAGAAGACTTCTGGTGTATCACATAGAGTTGCTTTCAATAAGATGGGCACCTGTATAAATTTGATAGATAGATAGATAGATAGATAGATAGATAGATAGATAGATAGATAGATAGATAGATAGATAGATAGATAGACAGACAGATAGATAGATGTCAGCCTCTTGTCTCTGCCCACTCTTCCTTAAGAATTTTGTTTTGATAAAACAGCAATGATGGTAATGCAATCATGCAGATCAGAAACACCCACCTTTTGCCTTAAACACGATCCACCTAGTCCTCAATGATTTTTTTACTCATAATGGAACTGAGACAGAATTTCCTGAAACATGCTTTTGTTGGATTTCACAGCTCATTCTTAGCCCAATTTTTATTAACTAAGTCACAATTGGCTGAGGTTCACTTAACATGCTAAGGGGCTTTCCTGTAATGATTGGAAATACTGTTTATTCATCCCAGAATCAGCAGAAAACTCTATTGGGCCTGTTCCCAATTCCAGTCTCTCCTCTGGCCTCAGTCACCGCAGTTGCCTGGTTTCCTTTCAGAGGAACTGAGATTGCCCCTGGTAGGTAGCATCTTAGGGGCATGGTAGAAAAAATGTTATCAGCCAGGATATGCTTTGTCCCATAGTTAGCGACAAAGGGGGAAACAGCCCTAAGTCATTGTAATAACTGAATTCAATCCGACTTGCTCAACCTACAATGAACAAGTTTCATTCTAACTTAAACAAGCTGTATGAGCAAGCCTTTACTGATCTCTTGATGATATGTTAAGCCTCACTCTGGGCTGGTGTGAGAGACTGCACTTGGAACCTCACACACTTGAATATTTTTTTCCTGAAAAGAAAAAAAAAACATTTCCATACAGAAAACTAGCATTTCAAGGAGAAGACCAGACCAGAGAACCAGCATGGTGAAACCACTTTCATTTTATACCAATACATTACTTAACAAGGCAAGTTTCTATCCATATTTAGCATATGCAAAGTGACATTGGGCCCCTAAGATTAAATCACTTCATAGACAACTTTGAGATAAAAAAAGGGCTTCCCAGATAGGTTCTTTGGAGAATGCTACTTTACTTATCAGATTTAATATTCTCCAAGTTATTAAATTTTATTACCCCAGCCAAGCCCCAAAACAAACATAAAAATTGTCAGACTCCAATCAGAACAGAGAAAATGCAAAGACTTCTGAATTTCTGTTGTTCCAGCCCTTAGGGATGCTAAGAATAATGTTGATAATGAGAATATGGCAGGGTTTTAAATGAGGATCAATCAGGCATATTATAGATTTAAACATGCTTTTTTCTAGCAGGGAGCACCAGTCACATGAAAGCTGGTCCAAAGTTGAAAGAACCCAGAAATTTTCATGTCTCTTTGAGTTAACATATTAACTTAACTTGAGTTAAGTTATTAACTTAACTCTCTAAGTTAATAGAGCCAAAAAGACTTGTCATCACATCTTGCAATAATAAAGACAATATTTTCCCGGTTTTCTCTTCTGGGGACCATCAGTAGTGGTTCTAATGTTCCACTCTTCTTTGAGAACCAATAGTCCCATCTACTCCCCCATACTGCTATGCCACAACTTGGCCAGAATATTCTTGTAACTCATTCATAAAATAATATTTTCCCTTCTCCACCCTTCCAGAATCCTTGGATGGCAATTGGGTCTGCATGCAGGCCTTACCCTCCCATCTCTGCAATGTGCTCAAGGAGGGGGTACCAAAGGAAGCTTTTGAAATCAAGCATGAACTAAACCAACTTCCTCTGAATTTGGAACAAGTGGGGTTGTTCTTTTCTGATTCATTTCTTCCCTCTTTCCACCTCTGGGGACCTATAAAGGACTTCTTGGATTCTCTTCTCACTGTGGAAGAGGAATGGACAGGACTGGAATTCATTCAGTAAACCTTTTGGCTAAATGGGATTTTTGAATTGGGGTTCTCCAGGTCTAATCTGACATGTAGGCTTATATGTAATAAGGGGAATCCCTAGCAAGCTTTCATTACTGCAAGCTCACACACAGAGAGAAACTCTCGCTTTTATCAGTTTTATTTGTTTGTATCCTGAGGTTGCCATCCTTCCTTGATCTTCAGACAGATAAGTGGCACACACATAAATTTAAACCAGTCTTCCCACAACTTCATGCTCTTCAGATGTATTAGCTCAGTGGTTCTCAACCTGTGGGTTGGGACCCCATTTGGGGTCGAACGACCATTTCACGGGGGTCGCCAAACAACGCAGTCCGCCATTTTTTTCCCCTTTTCCTTAGCTGTGCTACTCCCTTTTATTCTATTGGCTTTTGAAAGCCAATAGAATAAACTCTCTTGAACAGAGTCTAATGCTATTGGCTTTCAAAAGCCAATAGGAATTGTCCAGGCTATCTCTGCCCTGCTGAGCCCGCCAAAAGTCCCATTCTGCAAACGGTGCTGCACCAGTTGAGTAGTCCTCGACTTACGACCAGTTGAGTAGTCCTCGACTTACAACCGGTTGGGGGTCGCGGCATTAAAAAGGTTGAGAACCACTGTATTAGCTAACATCTGTTTGGGGAAGATGGGAGTTATTCTCAAAAACGCCAACCTGAAGATGTCTATTTGAAATCAAGTAACAAAACCAGAGCAAGTAAACTGAGATTCCCTCTGATATCGCCGTGGCTCCCATCCTGCTGGCATTTCAGAAAACCTTGAAGACCTGCTGTTCAAGGCCTTGGGCTGGGGCACTTGGGCCCCCTGTCAATTGGGTGCGGTTATAGTTAGTCCGGATCCACCATCAGTTCTTTTTTTTTTCTTTTTCATAATTATGCTATTATTATTTTGCTTGGTTTTATTATACATTGCCCAGAAATGGTTAAGCATTTGGTGGTATAAATTAAATAAAACATAAGCACCCACTTGTATATAAGCAAGCTTATCTTTGATAGCTTCCTGTGTAGGGGTAAAACCTAATGTCAGAGGAATTGGATATGGCCAGCATATAAGCAGAATTGTCAGCTGGTTTTTTTTTCCTATTTTGCTTCTGAACTTCCTGTAGCACTGGGCCATTCACAATGCTAAGCAGATTAGACAAAGATCGACTTAAGAAGTTCCATCTGTTTCTCTTAAACCAGAACAGACACTTTGCAGCTAAGGACCACAAGCAACCCTCAGCCTAACTTCATCTTGCCTTTGGTCTAATTTAGTACTGTTGTGAGGAAGCTAGAGAGAGAAATGCAAAAGAAAACCTAAAGTGCTGAGTGGAGTTACGTAGAGGAAATAGCTGAGTGGAGTTACGTAGAGGAGTTACGTAGAGGAAATTCCTCAAGTGAGGTAATTGCCTTTCTGGGAAAACACCACCTGGTCCTTCTGAAATAACAGAAGGGTGGTTCTGCTCATCTTTAGGTCCAAACCTGCCTCCCCCCTTCCATTGTGGCAGGTATTTCCCTACTCCTATTTTAAACCTGTCTTTTGTCAGACAAGTAGATACTGCTTCACCCATCAAAGTAAAATTAATGAGTTCCAGGTAAAAATATTTCCTTCAAATGATGAGGCCTTTGCATAATCTCCTGAACTTCTTTAATATATATACTAATAGGCTTCCCAAATAGCCAAGGAATGCTCAGAACAATGTTTTATTATAATTTGCCTTATGTGGGAAAAAAATCCCAAAATTTTTGTAAATGTTAATAATCCAGTGTTACCTTTCATATAAATATGACACAAATACATTTACTAAAAATATGCATCTATAAACAATATCTAGATATCATACCAAAATTATAAATCTGCTTCCACCAGTCAAACCTAATTTGCCATCTGGGGTATGATACATGGGCTGGGTTCCTGCAAGTCCTTACTTGAACCGGTTACTTTCAAATAGTTAAAATATACCAAAACCTAGCATGATGGTCTGGTTCAGGCAACATGCTATAACCCAGTCCACACAGAATCACAAACCTGTGGCCCGTTCCTTTCTTCAAGTCTGTTAGTGGAATATTGAAGCCATGAATATTCATTAATCAAGATCCTATTATCCATAATGAACAAAATTTTCTCCAGTCAGGGTTAGACACCTGATTTTCTTTTAGATGTTTGAATGACGATTCCCATCAATCCAACCATCATGATAAATGTCAAGGGTTATGGTACCTGCAGTTCAAAATATCTGGAGGACACTAGCTTGTCAATCTGCCCCCAACTCTGGTGTTCTCTGAATGCTGGCTGGGAATTCTAAGAATTATAATCTCTAAATATTCAGAAGAAACATATTATGAATGGCTCTGCTATGTTCATTTTATTTATCTAGTAGGTGACATTGGCCCCAACCTCAAACAAAAGAAGATCATGAATAAAATTCTGACAGTAATAATAAGTTCATACAGATAATCTGACAGATTGCTGCAGTATCAAGACAGATGGTCTGATGATCTCATTAGAGTACTCTCAAGTTCACATTGTTCAACTATAACATTTTTAATAGATGTTTTCTGGGAAGAGAG